GCAGACAGGCCCGCTCAGTAGCTTCGGCCTGCGCAGGAGGCCTGTCCTGGCCCCGTCTTGCTGCCCAGGAGCTCCGCCGGGCTCTTCTAGACGCCTTCCCAAAGGCTCCGGCTCCGCTCTGGCGCCTGGCCGCGGCTCTCCGCCTCCTCCTCCCCGGGGCCGCGGCCCCTCCCGCCCCGCGCGGACTTCGGGAACCGGGCGGACAGGGGCCCAGACCAGCCGCGGACGGCGGGGCTGGGGCACAGGGGCGTCTTCCGTGTGGGGGGATCTCCGAGAAACACACGGCCGCGCCCCCACAGCGCCCGGCTCCCAGGGCGTCGGCCCCGGCGCCCGGCCGGCTGGAGGGGGCACGGGGTGGCCGGGACGGGGAAGCGCACCGCAGGCAGAGGCGGGGCTTTGGGAGCTCAAGCCGATCCTTGCGGAGGAGCCGCGGCGGGAAGCGAAGGGCCGAAGGGCTGCCTCGGCCTCGGCCTGGCCAGCGGGTGGCGCTGTAGGACAAGCAGCCGAGCTCGCTGCCAGGAGGCCGGGGCGGGCGGAGGACCCGCGGCCGGGCGACCCAGGAGGTCTCAGCCGGCTTGTCACAGCCCCAGCAAGACGCACAGCGCGCAGGAAAAGAGACGGGGAGAACTTCCCGGAACGTCGAACCCACGTCTGGGTCCTTTGCGCTGGGGTGTTTAGAGCTAAAACGGGGCCCCCATTCAGAATTTTTCCTTCTTGATACAGCTGTCCCTTGGAACGTCCTGCCCGAGTACCTCATCACTCACAGGGCGGGACGTTCACTGTATTGACTAGGTTGCACTGTAACTTGTGATCCTCCTGCCTCAGCCTCCCAAATGCTGGGATTGCAGGCATGTGCCACCATGCCTGGCTATGAACCCGCTTCTGATGGGTGGACAGTGTGCATGGGGGTGCTGGTTGGAAAGCCCCCCCAAATCTGTGCTGTAGTGACTGTCCAGGCCCCCAGGTGGCCACCAGAATGGGCCTCTCCCTGCCAGGCTGAGGGATGCCCCCGGACAACATGAGCTTGTGCCTGGTGGCAGGCTGTGTGTGGGATTTGGACCCTGGGATCCTAGCCCCTGCTGGGAAGTGGGCAGCTTCCCTTCTACAGAGAGGAGGGCAGCGAACAAGCAGAAATCCCGAGAGCAGGCAGGCAGCTCAGGGTTCAGGCGTGGCGGGCACAGCAAAGCAGCTCGAAGCCCACAGCAGGAGTTGGGGGAGCTGCGGGCTTCAGTCCCACAGTGCTGGGGGCCCCCAAGGGGAAGGGGGCTGCTCTGCCGCGAGTGGGGGCCGCGAGGAGCCGGGGATCAGACGGGGTTGAGGTGACAGGCTCACTCTCAGGGCGGCGGAGCAGGGTGCAGGGTCGACTGGCCTGAGCGGTGGTTTTGCAGGTGACTGGGACAGTGTGTGACCGGCTGGGTGAGAGGTCAGGGAGCAGAGAGGGGAGTTTCCTGGCCCCATGGCCGGGCGGATGCCGATGCCGTTTCTGCCGCGGGAAAGGCCCAGGGAAGCAGGTGTGGCGGGGAAAGCCGCGTGTTCCGGCTACCTGGATGCTAGAGGTGAGCACCACACGCCTGGGGGGCAGGGGAGTGGCTGGGTAGGCGCAGACGGAAACCGGAAACCGGGAGAAGTGCGGGTTGCAGGTCAGCGCTGGGGGCCCTCAGGTGGGAGATGGCATCGGGAGGCAGGGGGAGGGGCCGGCCTGGGAGACGCCCCGTGAACCGGTCCTGCGCCTTGGGAGTCCCGAGTCTCAGAGTCAGCCTCTGCCAAGCCTCAGTGTAGCTCACCCAGCACTTCGGCATCTACTGGTTTTCACAGAAAGACGCAGGGGAAGAGGACAGGTAGGCTTTTCCATTTAAAACACATCGGCCTGTAATTCGTGGAGAAAAGTCCCAGAACCTGAGAGAGCTGGGAGGGAGGAGTGCCCAGGAGTTTGCCCAAGACGCTCTGCAACCCGGACACCTTTGGCCTCTCAAGGGCAGGTGACGTCCCGTCTGCAAGGACAAGGCCGCCGGCCTGCCTGATTGACAGCGCCTGGCTCAGAGGGGCGGGGCTGCCCCGGTAATAAACCGTTGGCTCTTCCTGCTCGCTGCCAGGGGTCCCAGACAGAGAATTCTGCCTCGGTGAGACACCAGCCGTCCCAAAAAGAGCAACGAAAACTCATGCTTGGAACAGAAAATGGGGCTTTCAGAGCACATCGGCGTGGCGCTTTCTGCAGGAAATGCGCCGGCTGTTCTCATCGCCCGGTGGGCAGGGCCGGGGGTTCCACCCTCAGCCTGGCTTGTTAAAAGCTGCCTCGTAATGTGGGTTGATCTTGTCAGGTGAGGCTCTGGGAAGAGGAACAGGGAGAGCTGACCCAGGAGGGTCACAGGTAGAAGGCTGCTGGGGTAGGGTGAGGCTCATGTTGGTGAACTTGGGGTGGAGTGTACGGGGGCTTACAGAAAACAATTAACCTGAGAGCCGGCTGAAATGGGGGAGGGGCCGGCTGGGGCTGGGAGCAGCAGCAGAGTCAGGTGAGTCTCTCAGGGGACTTCCCACCACAGCGGGGGTGGCTCACGCGTCACAGGGTCTAGGGGTGGGTGTAGTTGCCCATCCGCAGGGTCCCCTGGCGCACAGCACGTTCTTCCTGGTGGACTTTGAACGCTCTCTGGCGGTCGGCCTCGGTGGGGAAGGTGTCCAGATGAGGACCCACCTGCCGGCAGGAGACAAGAGCGCAGGGGTGAGGCTCTTTCTGGCCGCCCCATCCGCCTTCCCATCCCCCCTTTGATCTTGTGTTTGCTTTTGTCTTTTTTGGTTTTTTTTAAGATGGTTTCACTATGTAGTTCACACTGGTCGTGAACTCACTACGTACTCAGGCTGACCTCGAATTCTCAGTGATCCTCCTGCCTCAGCCTCCCAGGGGCTGAGATTATAGGCATGCACCCCCAAGCCTCACAATCTTAGAGAATAATAAAAATAGCTGCAAGGGGGACTCCAGCACAGTGCCATGAGACCCAGCCAGAAGGAGGTGGTGAGACCCCGGGCAGCGAGGGCAGTGGCCAAGGCCTGGCAGCCTGTCCAGCCGTCGCTGGGAAGACATGCAGAGAACCCATGCCCCGTGTACCCGCATCACTTCCAACAGGACGTGTGCCATCCTTCAGGAACCCACACGAGCCGCCGTCCCCGAGGGGGACCCTGTGCTGCAGGAGCCCAAGAACGAGTCCCTGCCCTCCGGAGGGCAGCACCAACCACGCCAAGCCACACTCGGGAGGGGCAGCTCCTGTGTCTGAGGGTGTGTGCCGCCACGCCTCGCCCTTCCCCGCCAGCCTCCCCAGCAGCAGTGCTGGGTGAACCCTGGCTCCAGCACTGAGTCGCTGACCTCCCCTCCAGGTGAGAGAAAGTGGTGCCCGCTAACATGGCCTTTCCCCTCGGGATGGCCTGAGGCATGGGGTCCGAGGGGCAGAGGCTCACCTGTCTACTTACACATCTGTCCATCCGTCCATCATCCTCCTGTCCATCCATCCGCCCGTCCGTCTGTCCATCCACCCACCCATCTCCCCATCCACTCTTCCACTCACGCACTCACTCATTCACGTCTGCTGAGTGCAGCTTGAGTCAGGGCCGGAGCCCGGAACAAGGGAGAAGGGCTCCACCCTCCTAAAATCAGTGGGACGGCAGGCACGCTCAATCGAAGGCCCATCTCACTGCCATCTGCAGGCCTCGCAGATGAGGAGCTTAGTCCCGGAGAAGAGCCACTGACTGGGGCTCAAAGGATGTGCAGCGCTTCCTGGGCAAAGGGGGCTGCGTGTGTTCTGGCCCAACCCAGCGGAGCTTGAGTCCACCAGGAGGTGCCGTGCTGGTGTCGGGGCCATGCCAGGGTCGGAGGTCTGTAGGAGCAGCGAGGGTGCCACTGCGCTTCAGGATAAAGCTGGACCTGCATGCCCAGCAGCCATAGGGTCTGATTCAGAACCCAGGCCCCCACACCCCCGGAGAGGTTAGCTCAGCCCACGGTGCTGATGACAAAAGGTAAGAGACAGAAACGTGGGCGGAGAATAAAATATTAACAGGAAGCCGGGAGAATCCTCGCACTTGGTGCCCAGCAGAGCACAATGGGACCATGTCCATCCCACTACAGATGTGGAGACTGAGGCTGGAACAGGGTTGGCTGGGGCCTGGCCCACAGGGAACTGGTGGCAGAGAAAATGCTTTAGGCCCCTGCCCTCCTCTGAGCCCTCAGCTTTGGATTCTTTCCAGAACATTCTGCCGCAGCTGCCTGTGCAACACGGGGTGCTTCCTGCACCTCCCTGTGAGGTGAAGGGGTGCTTCTCCTCGTTAGAAACCCACCTGAGCCAAGTGGGGACGGGCAGCACAGTTAGCCCTACAGTGGCCACATCCTTTGCTCTCTAAGAGATGTGGACCCTGAGGGGACACGTCCCCTGGGAGAACACACCCACAAGTCCTCACATGCAGGCCAGCGCAGGCTTCGGGAGGCCTCGGACCCTTTGCCGGTCCCGTCATGGCCCCACAATGGCAGCGTGCCCCGCAGCCATCCTGGGGTGCAGATTTCTTTGGGTGCATCAGCCTCACCTTGGGGCTCTTGTAACCCAGGCGGCAGCCTGAGCCAACCCCAGAGGTCCTGGTCCCCGGGGCAGGCGGCTTCACAAGGTCCCCTGGTGTCCCGGGGAGCCGGGGCTGACTGCTGGTGTGAGCTCACTGTGGCTGACCGAACGGGGACCCGGGCTCGGCTCAGACTCAAGTGTCCTAAACATCCCCGAGGCACCACACAGGAGTGATGGGGAGAGAGGAGACCCTGCACAGGGGGCTGGGAGAAGCAGGCAGCAAGAGGCCTGTCAGGGGACAGATTTGTGTCCCCGGAGGTGACGGCTCGATTCTCCCGACACTTGGGTCGCTGCAGTCTGAGGGGGCGGTCAGCTTGCCCAGGGCGCTGTCCCTGGTGGCGTCCTCAGTCGTGGTGTGGTTTGTCGTAAGACAGGCATGTTCTTCCTATGCATGTTTTCCTAACAGCCATAACTATGAATCCGGTGGGACCCCCTTAATATTATGTCAAAACAACTTTCCACGTTGCTACCATATCCTGCAATGATAATTTTCTTCTGTAAAAAACTGTAATAGCTTCACTGGGATTTAGTGGATTTACAAAAACTGCATCAAATGGGCACAGTTTGGGTGTAGACATTATGCCCATGAAAACCATCTCTACAATCAAGGCAATGAAAATATTCATCACTTTTGAAAGTTTCCTTTTGCCCTGTTGGTTTTTGTTAAAAAAAAAAAAAAAAAAGGTTTATTTTTTATTCTTTGGGTTTGAGTAATTAGCATGAGGTCTACCCTCTAGAAAAAAATTTTTAAAAAATTTTTTGAGACAAGCCGGGCATGGTGGCACATGTCTATAAACCCAGCACTTGGGAGGCTGAGGCAGCAGAATCACTGTAAGTTCGAGGCCAACCTGGGCTACAGAGTGAATTCAAGGCCGGCTTGAACTGCAGAGTGAAACCCTGTCTCAAAGCAGGTAAAAAAAAAATTTTTTTTTGAGGCAGTGTCTCGCTCTATGTAGTCCAGACTGGTCTTGAACTCACCCAGGCTGACCTTCCTGGGTTAGTGATCTTCCTGCCTCAGCCTCCCAAGTGCTGGAATCACAGATGTATGCCTCCCTGCCATTTCTCCTGGCATTTGCTTTCTTTCTTGCTTGCTTCTTTTTTCTTTCTTTCTTTTTTTGGGGGGCGTTTTTTTGAGACAAGTTCTCACTGTGTGGTTCAGGCTAGCTTTTAAACTCACTATGTAGCCCAGGCTGACCTTGAACTCATGGTGATCCTTCTGCTTCAGGCTCCCAAGTGCTGTCTCCTGGCATTTTTCAAGTGTATGATTAGTGCACACAGTCTCTGAATGAGACTCGACGTCCCTCAGTTCCAGAGCTCGTTCACTTTCGAATGGAACTTTGCACCCCGAGCAGCCGCGCCCTCGGCAACTTGCTCTCCACTCTGCTCCCCACCCTGCGGCTCTGCAGGAGGAAGCACAGCTTCGGGACCTTTGTCTCCGCTGTCCCCATTGGCCCCTGCAGAGGGTGGCACAGCGACCCCAAGTTCTGACCCCTGGAGCTGGCGAATGCGGCCGTCTTTGGAGAAAGGATCTTTACAGACGCAGTTAAGCTGAGGGTCTAGCGGAGGCCGCCCTGAGCGACTCACACAGTGTGTCCTCTTTACACTGTTTTTTCGTGGACACACCTAGGTTTATTCCAGAGGGCTTGCAATTGATTCTCTGTCAGTCAGCTATTTCCAAACAGAAGTCCCCACATAAGCACACCAGCATACGTTAAAGTGTGTGACAGAGCTCGCTTTTCAAAACATCTTTAACAAGTACGTAAGGGGAAATGTAAAATGCTGGGATTCAGACGCGGATCTTTTAGAGAAGAAGATACAGAGGCCCCGTGTGAGGTCAGAGGCAGGCACTGGAGCACTGGGCCAGGGCCAGGGATGCCAGGAGCCTCCAGAGGCCGGAAGAGCCAGGAAGGACCCTTCCCTGACTTCTCAGGAGGGAGCGCAGCCCTTCCCAGCCTTGGTTTCAACTATTCTTCAGAGCTGTGAGAGCTGGGTGTGCTGGCATGCAATTGTAATCTGAGCACTAAGGAGGAGGCTGAGGCAGGAGGATCTCCTCGAGTTTGAAGCCAGCCTGAACTGCATAGTGAGACCCTGCTTTAAACCTCCCAGCCTGTAGCCATTTGGAAGCCCTCCAGCAGGTCAGCTCCCAAGGGGGCAGTGGGAGGATGGAGGCTCTAAGAAGCTGCCCAGCTGAATGCAGAGGACAAAAAAGCATCCAAATTAGAAATTTTCTTTGTTTTGTTTTTTGGAGACAAGGTCTCACTGTGTAGCCCAGGATGGCCTCAGACTTGCAGCAATCCTCCTGCCTCAGCCTTCGCCATGCTGGGATTATAGGCATGTGCCACCACACCCAGTTGATATTTTCTCTTTGCAATTTGCACTGATGTAACAACTTCCTTGAAGCGGAGGCATTCATTTGTCCATCCACCAAGAAAAGTGGATCATGTACCTACTGTGTGTCGGGGCAGCTGCAGTGCTCAGCGCTCGGGGTCCCAACAGGCCTGCACTGCAGATGGCTGTGTGAGGTCGGCCGGGTGAGCCTCGTGTGACCAAGCGAAGCACACAGCATGCACCGGGCCCAGCAGTCAGGGCGCCGTCGGACCAGGACAGATCTGATGCAGCCCGCAAGCACTGGGGTGAGGGGTGGGAAGGGCGGTCGGGTGGCGGAAACAGTGTGGGCAGAGGCAGGAACGCTGTTCCTCTGGGGCCTGGAGTGTCCCCGAGTCTGAAGGTGGCAGGGCCTGACAATTCTCATTATGCACCCCAGTCCCGGAGCCCATAGCATGTTCAGAGGGGGGTGCAGCCGGGTGCCTTCCGCCAGACCGGCCCTGGTCACCATGGGGCGGCACCAGGACAGCTGCACAGGTCCTGAGCAGATCAGCGCCCCAGGGGCTCCGCTTTGCAGAGGGAACTCTCCGTCCAAAGGTTCCATCGCAGATTGAACCCAGGGTTGCGGGGCAGGAGGCAGCCAGCTCGCCGCCACTGCTCTAGTCACCACTCCAGGCCTGGCCCTGTACCACACGCACATGCGTGCCCCCTCGAGGGGCCTCGGCACCAGCCGGGTCTGGAGCTCTGTGTGCTCACGACGCCCCGGCCC